CATTTTCGACAAAGATAGGAGAGGAGCGGGAAAAGATAAAAAAAATAAATTCACACAATCCTTATAGTTGGAATTCAATCAAAGTTGTCATCCTCACAATTTACCCAATGCCGACCACTACAAAATTCGGTTATTATCTTCAACAATGTTAGTTTTTTTGTGGGATTAAGAGATTGATTTTTCATTTTACATGTTTTGTGAATTTCTATATTAAATTGTTATTTATGATGTCGATTCTTCATTATTTAAGCAAATTATTGAGTCTATGATGAATTTTGGCAAAATGAATACTTTTTGTTGTTGGAAATGATGATTTTCTTGTAATTTGCGACGAGATATAGTCGCACGGCCGACTGTATTTACAGCTAGCCTTGTTGATTGTTAAACAGTCAATTTGGGCCGACTGCAAAAAAAATCAGCCCAGTCAACTATTTGGGCCAACAATTTTTTCCTCATTTGTTTTTTCCGTTGTTTGATTTGTTTTGTTTTCATTATAATTTTTTAAAATATTTTTGAAATTTCATAATTATTTTGCTCATATTATGAATAATTTTTTTCGATTTAAAATTCGTTTTAGTTCTTTTCTTTTTATAACAAAACTTAATTTTTTTTATTTTCATTAAATAATATTTATATTCTTTATTTTATTTTTGTAATTTTCTTTTGTTTTATTTGCTTTGTTTTTATTATAATTTTCTTTGAAATAGATTTAAAATTTATTGTTTTCTTCATATTATAAATAATTTCATGTTCAATTGAAAAGTATTTTAAATTCTTTTCTTTTTATGATAAAATTTAATTTATTCAATTTTAATTAAATAATATTTATATTCTTATTTATTTTTTATAATTTTCTTTTGCTTAATTTATTTTTTTATTATAATTTTTTTGAAAATAATTTTTAAATTTCTTAATTGTTTTGTTCATAATATAAATAATTTTTTTTTTCGATTTAAAATTCATTTTAATTCTCTTCCTTTTATAAGAAAACTTAATCTTTTCCAATTTTAATATGTTCTTTATTTAATTTTCTTTTGTTTTTATTATAATTTATTTGAATAGTTTTTAATTTTTTTTCTTAGTATTATAAATAATTTTTTGTTCAATTAAATTTTTTTAATTTTTTTTCATTTTATAATAAAACTTAATTTTTTCAATGTTAATTAAATATTTTTTTTATTTTAATTATTTCAATTTTAATTTTAAAAAATTTATAATAATTTTTTTTATATTTGTCTTTTTTTTCTTTAATTTATTAAATAATTTAATTTTATATTAGCATCGCGTAAATGAATCTATGCCTTGCGTATAATAGTTACAATTCGTTTCTCTTAAATTTCTGAAATTATGCTTTATTCAATTACCTCTTATTCAATGTTCTAATATTTGAATTTTTGCAGGATGGAGTACAATCTAGATGCGGAGTTGGCACGGATGGCAGGAAAAACTATTTAGAACGGTAGCTTTGATAGTTTCACTGCAAACTAACCATCATGCGGGGCACGACGACGAAAAGATAATCGAGATCGTAAGTATTTATAATTTTTTTTAATTCGAAAACTTAATTTTTAGTTATATGATATCGAACTAACACGTTATTATTCAATTGTAGGACGTGATTACAGCATGGTCACAATAAAGTATGTTAAAATTTTTAATATAGCACAAAAAAGTTGATGAAATCAACCAATTATTAATATAAATTTGGAGGAATAAGTTAACGAGTGATTTGTATGAATTCAATGTGATCCGTAAATATTGTAAATTTAATTATAAAATTATTTTAAATTTTGTAAAATTTATGTAAACATTGTACATTCAATTGTTTATTTAACTATGAAATAATTGTACACATTACAAAACTTATATTTCAATTGTTTATTTAGTTATGAAAATAATTATAAATATTATAAAACAAATGTAAACATTGTATATTTAATTACAAAATAATTTTAAAAATTGTAAAATAAATGTAAATATTGTTTATTTAATAGCGATATTATTACACATCAATCTAATTGTCATTTAGGGGAATATATTTTGTACAAAATTGACGAGTATATCCTGTTTCTCTGCACCTGTTGCACCTATGTGGTAGAGAAAAACTCTTCGGTAGATAGTATTTTAGACGTATGTGGATGATCAGGATCACGCGGTTCAACTTCTGACGGTAACAAACTATTAAGTGAGAGAATATGGTTGGAACTTCCCACCCGACTTCATTCGGTAGTTAAAATATAATCACATCATACACTGCTCTACAATAATCAACCGTGTAATAAAGAGAGTATAATGTTCTCAATGTAAACCCTCTATACATAGTCATCGCGACTACATGCGCACATTGAAAACTCTCAAACTGAAATCCACTACAAATGCATGTATTATCAGTCAAGTTCACCATGTATACCATATTACGTGCACATTTCACGAAAAAACACAACTCCTCCAATGGTTTCACATTCAACTTTTTCGCAACCTCTGCAGCTTTGAAGAGTTTATCCTCTTGAGTCAAGTCTAGTATGCTGGTGCAACTTTGTGATTCCATACGTTGGTCATGAAAACCACTGCTGTAGCATGTTATGAATGTTTTCAATCATTGCGCTAATTGATAACTCTCGATCCTTCTTTAAAAATGCATTGAGAGACTTCGCGTTCGACATCATCATATTGTATTGACGTTTTGGAAAATGTGACCACGCCCAATGTTCAATCTCCATTTTTTTTATATAATCCCATGTTGGTAATGATTTACTTCCTATTTTGATCATAAACTTATTACACTCCTCAACACCGTAAGCTTTGCCCGCTCTCTTGAAAAATTAAAAGATGTCTTTGTCTCAATATCTAGTTTTCAGATTATATTGTATATGTTACATGCAATACACATGATGTGTCTCGAAAAAAATTTCAGCAATACCATTTATTATAGACGGTCAACGATCAATTATAGAGGTAAGGTCCTCGACTTTCCCGATTACTTTCCTAAACTTTGTAAAGAACTAATGCATCGACAGATTATTCTCGCTGTTGACTATGTCGAATATAAGAGGGTAAATTTGGATATTAGTATCTTAACATGTAGAAATAATCAACTTGCCTTGGTATTGAATTTTTAGAGTTGTACTACTGATTAGAATTACGGCTCGCATCGCATTTCAAAATCCCAAAAATGCATTGTCCAAGAGCTTTGAAAAAACTTAAAACAATTCTCGCCCTCTATTTCAATAAAAAATGTTGAGTCAGGATTAGTTGTTCCCATATTATGGCAATACCTGGCCAATTTAACATAACTCTCCTTGATTGAGCCCTACAAATCCTTCAATGCGTATTCTTTGGCCTTCCGATAGTTCATGACCATTCTATACTCTCGACAGACGTTGTTGTCCAAAGGTTTATAAATCGTTCGCGGGTCCTAATACTTGTGGATTGTCTGCCGACTAATAAACAATGCTCGAACTTGCCCATGATCGTTATGACGAATTATCGCTTCGCAAGTATGTTCTCCGTATACTTGTGAACTACAAATAACTCATTCGTGTCCATCTTAGTCGTTCGCAAACGTCAACGATAAATGTCGTTGACGTAAATCATTTGTTTGATTTCTTTATGTTAAATTCAAAATTTTTATTTTAATGACATCCTGTGCACAGCTTCTTACAGATCTTTCTTTGTTTTAAACAATTCATCGACATGCAAATCCTTATCATCGAGAACTATTTGTGAAGAATTAGGGGACGACTCGCTCAATCCAGGCCATGAGCTCCCACCCCACTTGTGCCTTTCACGAGATAGAGCAACGAAATCTTTATTTGTAAATTCATTTTCTTTCTGACGAATTTCTGTGCGTAATAGCGGGATCATGATGAGGAACATTTGTCTCGAGAATAACTACATCATCTTCACGAGCTATTTCCATTGTGTCCAAAAAATCATTGGCATTGTCATCTGCTCCATTCGAATGTTCGTGTTCACTTTTGATGACATCCTAGCTTTCTCACTAAAGTCACGCAAAAAAGAGTCATGTGCATTTTATTCAATTCAAATAGATAAATCACTTTAGAATCAGAATTAACATTCATTGGTGGAATCAAAAATAGATGAATGCTCGTTGAATTGAAATCTCAATTCCATGTAGTACCGAGAGGGATCGACATTCAACTTATTTCATAAATCATAGTGCATTCCCACATATGATGTACTTTCTGTTAGAAATTGGAATACCACTAAGTATATCACTCATCCATTTTCACACATATCGATCAATTTCATCCAATTTGAAATCACTAAAATAACAAATCGATATCACAATCATAATTATATGATGAAAAATAATTTTTAATCATAAGAAAAAATAGTCAAAAAATCGGCTCAACCACTGGACAACAGAAATATATTAAAATTTTACAGCTTTTTGTTGCTCATGCTTCAAAAATTATAGATCCGTTAAAAAAATTTATCTACATATTAATCAATGTCAAAATAACATTTATCCATTAAAAACGTATATTAATTTAACGAAAATAAAATTAAACATACTTAAATATACCTACTGATTTGAAGTGACTGATATAAAAAATTACTTTCTTGTTTAAAGTTTGATAAATTTATGAGATTTTGAGATTAAAGAAGATGAAATACGAAAGAGTTTTTATCTATATTCTAATAAACATATAAGAAAAGTTAGTTGATTTTGAAATTTTTAGTTTTCACTTGTTAATTAAAAGGATAATATTATTTTTTTTAAATAAAACAATATTTTGTAATTATACAATATACTTAAGAAATTCTTCGTGTTTCACCATTTAAAAGACCACGGTGAAAATATGAAATAATTGGAAAGTCAAATTGAAAAATATGGAATTTCACCATTGATTTTTAACGTACCCCTAAAATTCTACCTTAATCAATGCTAATTGTACAATCTTATCTTACAAATTTGGTTGTTATCATTACATTCATCCATTTTAAAAACTACTTTTAAAATTAATGACACAGATTTTCACAGCATCAATATTGCCCAGCATGATTGTTCAACTAAATTAATTCACCCTATTTTCGCCTCTCTTGAACTCCAATACCTCCCCAATTTCACTCTTCCTCAAACCCTAATCTTAACGCCTCCGCCTCTGCTCTCAGCCGTTCGCCGCCATGGTAACTTTCTCTTCCTCTCCTTTCTTCCAATTGAGCTTTTGATTCTCTTGAGTCTATCTTTTCTGTAATTGTTGACAATAATATGATTTATTTGATGTATACGTAGACTGGAGAAGCTGTGAACCCAAAAGCATATCCGCTGGCAGATGCCCAGCTGACCATCACTATTATGGACCTGGTTCAACAGGCTGCGAACTACAAACAACTCAAAAAGGGGGCTAATGAAGGTTATATTACCTCCTTTTATTATTGTCAGCAATCGTTAATTTTAGCCTTTTTCTTCTTTTTCTTTCTAATGAGTTTGTTCATGATCAAATTGAGATTTTGGGATTTTTATTTAATCAAATAATTGTTGCAGCAACTAAGACACTGAATAGAGGAATTTCAGAATTCGTAGTCATGGCTGCAGACACTGAGCCCCTCGAAATTCTTCTTCACCTTCCTCTTCTTGCTGAAGATAAGGTAATTTTTCTATTTAGAAGTGGTTGGTTTTCAATATATTGCAATTTTTCTATTTAGAAGCGGTTGGTTTTCAATATATATGCAATATATTGAGTTGCTTATAGTTAAGTTTATTACTATAATATGGAGAATTAATAGTAGTCAGCATACTGAGCATCAAAACTACAATTTTTTTTGTTCTTAGTTAGGAGGAAAGTTTGAGTTAACGAGTTTATTTCTGAATAGCAGGTGCTAAAATGGAGCAAGATGTAATTGTGTAGTATATGTAATTTTAGGAATCAAACATTTGAGTTAATAATCCAGAGTAATAGGTGTTACAAGAATTAAAAGAATTTCATTTACCAACATTAAAATCATTTTGAAACTAAATTAGAATTGATAGTTTAGGACCCAAGATTCTAAAATAACTTTAATAAAAATGAACTAATGCACTACTTGTGCATCTTCCACTTTTCAAATTTGATAGGGCTATTAGTGTAATGCCCCGAAACCCATGCTCTGGAGGTTACTCAATTTATCTCTTTAACTATTATAAAAATTAGTCGACACATTATGATACGAAAAATTTGAAGAAAACTTTGCGGAATAAAAACAAGTTATTTTATTGTCTCATAAAATATCAATTAATCTAATTCATTATTGTACTATGAATCCAGTACTTATTTTTTTAAAATTCAACATTTATTTAAAAATAAAATTTTAATTTGAATAAAAAAAATATTTTCTAAGTAAATACTAAATATGAAAAGAAAAAACTTAAATTCTTGATCCAGCAACACGGACTCTGTCAACAGTCTCAACTTCCAACTCCGATCCATCAAGCATCTGTAAAAATAATTTAGAATATGGAATGAGTATATGAATATACTCAGTATAGATTTCATGCCAGTATTTTCACAGTTTAATATAAAAAGTAAGTAAAATACGCACATAACATAACTTTTTAGTGGGATAGAAACCTGACCGTCTCATTCTCACTTAGGTCAAACCCATTCTCAATCTCCACTTAGGGTATTTAGCCCTGTGGCTTGTTTTCGTATAGATCTACATGATAATATCCTATGGTATTTCCCACAATATTTTTATTTACTTTGAATCACATAGTAGCACATAAAATACTCAACTTAAAACATTAAAAAGTGAAAATACAAAATCACTGGACATTTAGAGAATGCCATACCTATTCGATAAATTCCTTGTATACTTGAACTATTTAGGATTGAAAATTATTGCGAACGGATCTCGAACGCGTCAGAAAATTTTCTTTTCTTTTCTTTTTTTTCTTCCTTCTTTACATTTTCTATTCTGCCTCCCTCTTTCTCTCTCTCTATTACTTTTTTCCTCTCTCTATCTCCTCTGTTTCTTTCTCTCTCTCTTTCTCACGTTTTCTGCTTTCTGTAGTTTAGTATGAAATAAGTACAAGGCTCAAGATTATTAAATAATGGTCATTAGATTAGGGTGAGTTACCTATTTAGACTTCTATTAAAATCTCTTAATTTGAATTCAAATAGGACTCTTAACAAAAAATTTTACCACATAAAATCCTAATTACATGAGGATAAGATTATAGTATAAATATGTTAAAATACTAATTTATTTAAACTTCATTTTATCAAATAATTCAATATATATCCAAAATAATAGTAAAATTTAATTTCATACATTTTATGCCTCATAATATATTTACGATTTATTTATTTATTTATTTTGGGTATTACAATTAGGGCTGTTTGGGAGAGCTTTCTCTTCTTGGGAAGAGTTTTTGAGAGTAGCTTTGGCTAGTAGACATGGCAATGGGGTGGGATGGGGCGATCTGTCTCTGTCCTGCCGAGGATTTTACTTCAATCCCATTCTTGATAGGCGCTTAAGGCCGGTGGGCTTGGTGGGATAATCCACCACCTTGATTACTGTCCTGTTTATATTTATTTCTTATTTTTTTTCCCTACAAATTCTTGGGTTTGGGAATTGAGTCTTGGAAATTTGTTCGAGTTTGCTATAATTTAGGTGATTTTACTCGAATTTGAATTTTTTTTTTCCATATAAATAACAACTTGGGGGTTAAGTTTTGCTGCGCGGCCCTGTGTGGCAAAACACCTCCCCATTGAGGCAGGAAGGTTTTGCCCTGTGCTGGGCGGGGCTCGGGGTGGGTTTTCCTGCCAAATTGTCATCCCATGGAGCCATCTTCCTCTTAAAATACAAAGTATTTTAAGAAATTATCTAAATAGGGTCAAAAGCTTTTTCTTGGTATCAAAAGCAGCTTTTGGCTTTTCATTCAAATCGGTCTCTAATGATTCTCTTTTTGATCTTGTTGAAATCCTTAATTTCATTTATCCCATACTTTACAATTTGAAGCATATTGGCTTAGTACTTTTTTGGCCGTATATGCATTTGAATTGATTGATAGAGATTTTCAGAGCAAGGAAGACAGAACTGACACATATAAGGAGAACTGGATTTTTTTGACCAAGAATTCTAACTTATTCTGTCTATTTTATGGAAAATTGATTACCTATGAATTTAACATTGACAATAGCCTTACTTCTCCTCTCTTTCAGATTCATTTAACCACATAGAAATCAGGCACTATATGGGGAATTAGGAAAAATGGTTTGTTGTTGATTGGCATTGTTACCGAGGAGGAAGGAAAGTAACTTCCAGTGAAGGTGTTAGAGAAGCTAGGAGGGAAGGCCACCAGAGATTTTAAAATTTTTTTTTTTTAATTTTTTTAATTTTTTTGGGGTGGGGGGGGGGGGCG